AGTGAGGAAGGTACTAAAGGCCGTCTGCAGAGGAGCCCAATTCTCCTGAACCTCCGTCACCTCTTGTGAAATGTGCCTGTGAGCCTTGGCTCTAGGATTCTAGGCTTTGAGGATCTAGGATGAACAGAAAGGACGCCAAGGGTAGGGGTGAGCCAACTCCCGATCTCCAAAAGAGCAAAAAGGTAGAGTATGCGACTCAACTTACTGTTGCTCTCAGACTTGCAGACAAGCTTGTTAAATAGAAGTAGGTACAAGCTTAGAAAGGGAAGCAGCAATCCCCAAAACCAGGCTTGTTGAGAAGGACTCAAGTCAGGCCATACTCCCCTCCTTCCTGGACTGTGATTTAGGTCAGAAGGGTGCTACTGATGTTAAAGATCTGGACTGTAATAAATTTGCCTTAAATGAGTTTGCTCATGATGACCATGTGGATTTGGGGGGACCTGGGGACCATGCTGACCTACAGAATGGCCCAGTAACATGCCCAAGCACCATACTGGCCTTGCCCTGCCTGACAAGTTGGATGAAAACTGATGAAGGACTAGCCATAACCTCAGATGACAAAGCCAGTCCGGACTAAAATGACAATCGAGAAGGAATTTAACGTGGGCAAATGCCAAACTCTGCATTTAACTAACCAAGGTTGTTTGACATGAACACAAATTAGACAGAGTTGTTCCAGAGAGATACATGGAGAAAATGTCCAGGCATTTTGTAGGCCACAAGCTCAGCATGTCTCCTGAGTGTTAATGCATGAATGCAACTTCTGGTGGCTGCACCCCCGGAGGTCTGTAACGCCCTTTGGCAGTTTCTGTGTATACCTTCCCCTGGGATAAACCCTACAACTCCATGCAGATCTGCTCTGGGGCTCCTGGAGCCAGAAGTACTTGGAGGTTACACCCCTGCCCCTGGTGGCCCTTAGTCTGGGTGGAATTTGCACTCCAGGCTCTCCTGTGGCATCTGACTTGGACTGAAATCACATCCTTACTTGCCTTCTTCCCCTCTCCTACCTTACTCTCCCCATCTTAATAACTCCAGAATCCTCATCTCAGTACGAGCATTTCAGAACAAGCCCAAGGTGAGATGAGTGGTAAGGGATGGGATGGATGGTGGTCCTCTTCCTTGAGGCTCTGGGAACCATATTTTCAGAATCCCACAACCAAAGGCACATGCCCCAAGCAGGTATAAAGCTGAGGAAGAGGAACCTGGAAAGAGACTCTGAATAAGGGATATTTCAGGAAATGGGATGCGGGCTGTAATCACCACCAGGGTGGCAGGGCAAGAGCTGTCCCTGAATGTGGTTGTGGGCATGCCACCCAACACCACCAGTGTGTGTAGTGGGTGCTGACTTGGCACCAGGTGCTTTACATGGATTACTCAACTTAATCCTCACAACTAGCCTGTGAAGGAGGCATCACTATCATCCCCATTTTACAGACAAGGACGTCTAGGATCAGCAAGGCTAGTTACTTACCCAAGATCTCATGGCTACAGGTGTGGATCCAGGGTTCAAACTTTATCTGTAGACCACGAAACTATGGTGGTCCACTCCATGCCCAAAGTGTTAGGACTTGCATGGGCAAGGCCCTCTGCAGCCTCCTGTAAACCTAGGATCTAGCACGTCTAGGAAACAGAGACCCAATCCAGCTGACACAGAGGTAGCATCACAGTGGAACAGGCCCATTCCCTGCATTTCTGCTGTCCCCAGCACTGTGGCCTCAGGCCAGCAGTAGCTGTACTCTAATAGGAACAACTTCTTCCTCAGTTTGGATTAATGATTTCTTGTGAGGCTGATGGCAGCCTTGGGCCAGAGAAGGGAAACCCACCTTGTGTTCTGGCCACAGGACAAGCAAGCCAAGAGGTGACAAGGGAGGAGTCTCTGGAGAAGATTGGGGGGGGTACGGGGGGGAACACAGGGCGGGCATCCCTGCTGTAGCAGGAAGCTCTAAGACTCTGGGGTTTGTGCTCCAAAGGGCAGAATTTAACCAACGCCCCTTTCCTGCTGGGGCCTGGCAAAGCTCTGGTCTCCGAACTTGGATTTATTTTTAATTCAAAACCAAACAAATGTATCAACAATGAAATCCAACACCTCCCAGAGTGAGGCCTGAAAGGGATCCAAAGAATCTGGAGTCCAAGGGAAAGAGATCTATAAACTAAGCCAGTGGCCTTGCTCTGGGGCCTAAATTACTGCAAGCATCAGGCCTGGTCCAGGAGTGGGCATAGCAAGAGGGTGGGTATGGGTCTCTAGGTCCAATTGGAAATTAAGCTGCAGTCACTCCAGGTAGAGCTGTTGACAGAAGCTAGGCACTGTGAGCTAGTGAGACCAGGGACATGGCTTAACCAGGAGGGTGGTCTGGGTACCCCAGTGAAAACACAGGCCAGGCTGGATTCCAGCACCACCCTGCAAATACTCATCTCAGTCATGATTAAATGAATGGGCAGCTTGGCTGGCCCGTCCCATGCTGGGTTCAACCCAACCTGCTATTCTGGTGAGCCAGGGGCAGCAGAGAGGTGGCACCAATTGGCTCATAGCCAGAGTAACTCATAAGAATCTGCATGTGACAAAGGAGAAAGTCTCTTCATGAAGTGGCTTTCACTAGTCCCAGCCAAACCCTGTGGCATGTGGCCCTTCCCCTGTCCCTGATAGTAGCCCCACCCTCATCTTGCTCAGACTGGAAACCTCAGCCTCCCAAAACTCCTCTTTCTTCCTGAATCCATGTGTATGCATGTGCGTGTGCGTGTGCGTGTGTGCGTGCGTGCGTGTGTGTGTGTGTGTGTGTGAGAGAGAGAGAGCAAGCCCAGCCCCCAGCTGCCTACTCTGTCACCCCTTAACAAGCCCCTCCTTGGTGCTCCCTACCATATCCTCCTGTGTTCTTGCTTCCTACCCCTTCTGAGCCAATCTCTTCATTGGCAGCCAAACTGATATATCTCAACTGAAATCTGTTCCCCCCACCCCTTCCACGGTTCCCTTAAAGTTTCTTCCCTCAGTTATACCAGGATCTTCACAATGCCCTCCGCCCTTGTCAGACTCCCAACCTGACAAACACCCCAGGAGGTCCTCCACCATGGTGATTCACCATGGCTAGGACAGGATAGGCCCCTCCAAGCCTCTAATCAGGCTGTTCTGTCTGCCTAGCAAGTTCTTCTCTCCCTCTGCCCAGCCCCTCTGTGTTCTCAAGACCCTGCTTAGCTGTTGCCCTGTGTGAAGGGCCCTTTCCCATGTCCTTACAGCCATCTGCTCTCTCTCGTGTGGCCCCACCAGGCTGGGACTCCTGGAGACCCTGTACAGGGCCAGGAACAAAGGCAACACATATGTGTTACTCCCCAGAACGTGTGGTACCTGTCCTGCACCACGCAGAGGGACTGACAGGCTCAGAGCCCCAAGGAAGGGTATAGCTGCACAAGCAGGAAAGGTATCTCTGAGTAAGAATGATCAATCACCGGGCTTTGGGAGACATTCGACCTGAAGCATACTTTTCTCTCCTTGTTCCTTGTCCTGTTAGATTGTCACTCCTGCTTTAAAAATTAACCCATTGTTGCATGAGTCATTTCCAGTTCCATGAGTACCAGGTCCTTGAGGATGGGGGAAGATAAGCCAGCTTTCAGGTCCAGAGTTCCTAGATGCAAAAAGAGCCTCAGGAACAGGGCCAGGTCATGGGCCATGACCCCACCCTAACCCATTATTCCCTCATAAGAGTGGTCTGTAGGATTCTGTCTCAGGATCTTGGAATCTTCTACAAGTCCCAGGACAAGAACACAAGCCCTCTTCCATCCTCTGTAGGCCTTGAAAAATTCCTGGGCAATGAAGTCAGGCTATGCCAAGCCCATCTCTTCCTACTCCCAAACCCCTGGCTCCCCACTGCCTGATTCACGTCAGATCACTTGGGCAAGACTGGGCAAACCTGAGCCTTTCAGCTCAGCCATTTCCCATCACCATGTGGGAGCCCCCCCCCATCCAGAGCCCACAGCCAGGCTCCTTTCCTGTCCCCATCTATACCTGCCCCCACCCCTCCAAGAATTGCACCAGCTGGGAAGAATTCTTAAGCCAAAAGAATGAGGTAATCACATAATGGTGTGATTTCAGGCACCACAACTTATTTGGGGGCAGGTGGCTGCCCATTCTTCTCTTCCTCAGGCCAGCCCCTAACACAATGACCTGCAAGGCAGCTGGCTCTCAAAGTGCCCCTAGAAGGCTGGCAGAACTCTTTGATGATCACCAACCCCCCCCCTCCATGCACACCATGAGCTCAGCTGGGGCAGGGGCAGCATCTGTCTCATTCATGAAATCCACAGAACCTAGCACAGAATACATGGTCGATAAATTCTTGCATATGACCGCATTGGACTGGACTGGCATGTGCTGCTGGGAAATACCCCAGGCTCAGCCAGTGCTGACTCTGAATCTTAGCCCCACCACTCCAAACTGTTCAATGCGGGGCACGTCAGCCACAGCCTTGCCAAATGCCTGTCACTTCTTCTGTAAAATGGAGTGAAGAGGTGAAGACTCGACAAAGGAAGGTATATGGTACACAAGACCTTGAACAGCATCAGTCCTCTTCCCTAAAGGCCCAGGCAGTCCCTGTTACTAGGGCCACACACTTCATGTGCAAAATTAATTCTCAGCACTGCTCTGAAATAAAGCCTCCAAGATCCTGAGGGAGAGACACAGCCAAGTTCCATGGGCAGACTGAACAGAGGTGGAGGTTTTTATGGATACTCAGGAGCTCCCTTATGCACAGTGCTGAAACCCTGTCTTGAAGTTCAGAGCCCAGAAGGTGCAAGATGTGGCCCTTGGGAATCAAGCCCTTAAAAAACATCCCAGCCGCATGGAGCAGGAAGTCCTAGGCTGCAGTTCTGTGTTCGGGAGGCAAGCAACGTTCGGGTGGGAGGTGTGCCCAGCTGCCAATGAGTTCAGGGGCCACAGCTCCCCAACCCCCACTGGCCCTGGCCCTGGCCTGGGGCTGAGTCCATGGGCCCAGGCTGGCTCTGAGGACCACAGCTCCTCACTCAGGCACTGCCCCGGAGCAGCCACAGCAGCTGGGGCGCCGCAGGGACTGCATGACGGCCCGCAGTGGCCCCCTCCGGCCCTCTGCAGACAGGCTGTCCTCACTGGCGGGCGCCCGCTGCAGCTGCTCAAACTGCATCTCCAGGTGCTTCTGGATGGCCACACCAAGCACCTCTGGATCCACTGCAGCTCCATACACCTCCCATGTCATGCCTTCAGCATCCCATCGCACATCCCGAACAGGGGACGGTGCCTCCTCCAGGCCGGACTCCAGAGTTACCTCTGGGAACAGGTGCAGGGCCACAGGCGCTTCCAGGGATGGGCTAGTGGCCACAGCCTTGCAAGCTGCCGCTGGGGCTGCCTGTACACCAGCATCCTGGGCTGACAGAGGGGATGCCACTGCAGGGGCCAGGTCGCTGGCTGAGGTCATGGTCCATACATCTTTGGTCCTAGATCCAGGTTCTGAGGCTAAGCCCGTGGGACCCCAAGGGTGGGCACAGCAGTGGGAGTGCCCAGGCAGGCCCCCAGGCAACCTGCAGTGGAACCTCACCCCATGCTGAGCCTGCAACCCAGACTCGCTCACTGATGCCACCAGTTTGGGAAAGGCCAGGATCCCTGTGGCAGGTAGCGCATGGCAGCAGCCACCCATCCCCACCTCTCTCATGCCACAGTGTAGAGCAGCTGGGGGTAGAACAGCTGGGGGCAGAGCGTGGCAGGAGGTGGTGGCCAGCTGCCCATTGGGTTTGGGCTCAGCCTGGTGACTGCTGCTGCGGGCAGTTGTGTCCCCAAGGTCTAGTGGCGGCACCCACACCTGACTGTCTTCCTGCTTCCAGGCTGAATTAGAAGTCCCATCCTCTGGACCCAGGTCCCTTTCCAGGTCTGCAGGGGCCTGGCTACCCTGGGCAGTAGTCCCGCCAGGCTGCAGTTGTACCCTGTGGACAGGGGAGCTGCCAAGAGCCGAGCAGCTGAGGCTAGCCTTCCGAGCAGTGCTGTGGCCCCGCATCTGGGTGCTACGGGCCAGGTCCGAGTGGCTCCTCTGCACAGTAGTGGCACCAGGGGCCCGCAGGCGACACAGGTCACCACTGCCCATAGTGGACACATTGCCCACGGTGCTGCTCCGCCAGTGGCCCCCGGTACTAGGCTGTGGCTGTGGACTGGAGGCCCGTGCTGGCTCCACGCTCTCAGCTGGATGCCTCTCTTCCTCCAGGGCTGGGGAATCACTGCTGGCCTCACCTGGCTGGGCCTGCCACACAGTGCTGCTGGCACTCTTGCGAAGCTCTGGCCTCTGTCCCCGGCCTTCACCCAGCAGGTTGGAAGAACTCTGGGACAGGGGCTGCAAGTGGGGGTTCAAGGGTGCCCGGACACCCTGCTCAGGGCGACTGGAGCTCATGGCTGCCTGTAGGAGACAGAAAGGGAGTGGAGGTGAGTTGGGTGGCAGCACCTGAGCCAGACTCTGCTATGAGATCCCACAGTGTCCGGCCCACTGGGGGGCCAGCTTCAGACCCAGCCTGCCTGACTGGTCAGAACCATAAGCAAGACAGTGACAAGACACTAGACACTTCACATCAAGGTCATCTCACATTATACACAGGGATGACACCACAGACAACTCATAATCAGTACCCAGCGATTAGAACTTGCCCTAGGGTATGATACCCCATGTCAGCTGTTGACTCTCTACTGGCTGGCTTGTGGGTAAAGGGAAAGAAGGGGGTTCAGGGGAGTGTCCAAGTCTGCTGGGGACTTGGGGGCGGGACTGCAACACTAGGGGCAGGGGCTGTGGGACAACAGCTCTTAGTCAAGCAACACAGTATTGTAGTATTTTAGCCACCAGCACAGCTCGACTGGCCAGTACTAGCCTGCTTCCTCCTGGGACTGACATTCTCCATCTCACTGTGGGTTGGGGTCTCCTTGGTGGAATAGGGGCTCAGAAGTTTATGGAATGAGGGAGCAATGAATAGAGGACACTGGGAATCACCCTGGGCTCTCCTCTCTGACCTAGCCTGGCTGAGCTGTCATGTCCCTGGGGACTCAATCTTGGCAGCAGTAAAGACTCCCCCTTCCATCTTTAGCGGCAGGGAGAGACCCCATGCATCAGCCCTTTCCGCAGGACTCAGCATTTGTTCATTCATTCCACAGCCAGTGAAATAAGTTGCCCACTCAGTACTACCCCTCAGACACATCCTGCATAATATTTTACCTCCCTCTTGCCCAATGTGTCTACATCCCTCTTGTACCCTGCCCCCGCCCCCCGCCATTGGTGTCCTTCTCAGTCACGCAGACCACTTTGGATCTACCCACTGGCCAAGTCACAGCCTAGAGCCAGGGCTGGCCCCTTCTACCTCAGTGTCTCCTCCTGGGAACCCTGTCCTGACCCTCCTGGCTGGGCTGCCTCCAACCATAGCTAAGCATTAAGCCTGGATGGGACAGGCTGACTCACTGTCAGCCTCCCTACCAGCCTGAAGTCGGCAAAGCCTGGCCTGTAGCCTGTCCCCCTCTGACTGATCAGTACCGAGCACTGACCTAACACGTAGTTGGCACTCAGAATGTCTACTGTATGCCTGACTGAGAGGGCAAGCAAATACAAGAACAAACCCACAGAGGAGGTCAGTAAGGACCAGTAACGGGGTCTGAGGGAGGACATCACCAAGGCAGGAGAGCCCACTTTGGGTGATGACTCAGAAAAGGCTTCTTGGAGGACAAGACAGGTAAGTTGGGCCTAAAGAGGGAAGAGGGAGAAGATGGCGGGGTAGAGGAGCAGCGCAGGCAGAAGGTGAGAGGCCATGTATACAGAGCACCCAAGGAGAACAGTAGGGTAAGAGTGCCTGGGCCAGCCTGGCCCTGGCCACAGCTGTGAATCAGGGAGATCACTCTGGGACTCCCTGCCAGGCAGGACTGGCTAGAGAAACAGGGTGGGGATGGCAGATACCAGTTGCATTTGGGCAATCCCAGCCCTGTCTTCCCACCCCTGGGCTGATAAGGACTGCCAAGAAACCAATCACCCTGGCCAGATGAGCAAGGCTCCCTGAGAGGAAATGCAGGAAGGGCTCCAGAACTCAGTTTCCGTGTAAGTACAAACTTCGTGCTATGCCAGGGCTCAGGAGATGGCTGCTGGCTGTGGAGTCACAGCGAGGATGATCCTAGAGTCATAGTCCCTGAGAGTCCAGTTTTGCACAACTTTCTTGGTCCACTGTGCTATCCAACTGCAGGCACTAACCACATATAGTTACCAAGTGCATAACAGATGGCCACTGTGAATGAGAAACTGAATTTTTAAATTTTATCCAAGTGTAAGTAATTTAAATCTAGTTGGCCACATGTGGTCAATGGCTATCATCCTGGAAACCATGCAGCTCTATACACAGCTCCAGCCTGGCAAGGACATCCCATTCTGGTGACTTCCTGGGGCTGAAGCAAGAATGGTGCCTGGGAAGGTCAGGAAAAGTAGCCAAGAGAGGACTGTGACCCAGGCCCTGACCTCAAGGAGCTCTAAGATGGACATAGAAACAGGAGGGCAATAAAGCCAGCACCAATAAGAGTGAAGACAGTTCCCAGGGCCCAGTCACTCACCATGCTCCAGGCATGTGCCACATCCTTTGCACAAATTGTCTCACTTGTCAAAGAAACCTCATGACATATGTAATTATCTCTAGAGACAAGGAGACCAAAACTCAGAGAGGTGCAGTGACTTGCCAAGGGCACACAGCTGATGAGTCTGAGCTTCTCTCTCCTCTGAGCTCTGTTAGACCTCTGATCCGACAGCTTGCACCCTCCACTGGCATCATCTCTTTACTTATCTGGTGCCCTGACCTGACTAAAGCTCCAGCACCCAGCCCAGAGCCTGACCCTGGTAATGGTGCTCATAACACACCCATGGAACAAGTGCTTGAGTGGACCCTCACCCACCCTGGCTGCATCTCAGCAGCTTCTGGGGCTGCTGGAATGAGGAGGTACACCTGCTGACTGGAAAGGCTACGGTCACTACCAGCCCCTGGCAGGCAGACAGTCAACCACTGCAAGTCCAAGAATGCCAAGGAGGCCCCATCTAGACACCTGCACAGCCTCTAGCTGAGCCTTAATACCTTAGTGGGAGCAAGGCCATAAAAAGCCAGGCCAATCCCTGACCCTGGAAGAGACAGGAGGGACAAGGCTGAAGGAGCTCTCAGACTCCCCGCCCAGCCTCAGTGAAAAGCCATCAGTGACGAGGGTCCCACTGTGCCTGCCTCACCAGAGGGTTGCCCAGCACCCAAGGCTAGTCATCACCCAGAGACCCCAGTGAGGGGTTATATATCTGTTAGTTATCTTCCCTAACCCTTCCCACAAGTTGCAAGTGACAAACTGAAGCCTGGAGCAGTAGAAATGTCAAAGAACCCACAGCTGAAAGCAGCTAATCCAAGCTCCACCAGAATATCCTACTACAACCTGGCCTTCCTGGCCCTGGAGAAGGGAAAAGCTCCACGGAAGGGGCGAGGTGCTCTCCATGCTCCCAAATGACGGCTTTTGGACTCAGTTAAAAAGAGGGGCCTCCCAGAGAGCCAGGGGTGAGGAGGAAGGAGCAGGGCTCTGCTTTCAATGCTGGCTCTTCCACTTCCTGTATATATGCTCTCACCTAACCTAACCTAAGCCTCAGTCTCTCCAAAGTGCAAAACACAAGTAAATCCCCACCTTGCAGGGTTGTTGTGAGGACTAAATGTGATAGCATGTGGACTATCTGCAACAGTGGCTGTCAACAATAATCTTATCTTTTCCCTCCCATCAAGAGTGGCTTGAACTCCCAGTATCACGGGCACTAGTACTAGGGGGCAGAGAGGCCCTTTTCAGAGCTATTGAGATGGCTCATCAGTTAGCCTAGTCTTGCTTTCCAGCCTTGCTACCTGCATTCCATCCTAAGAGCGAGTCACCAGCAAGTTTACCCGTCACCACTCTAAGTTTCACAGAGCCTATTTTAAGTTTAATCCGAAGGACATGCACAAGTCTGGAGTTTGCATTTAAATGCCCAGAATGGCATGCCCACTCTGCCTTTATAACCAAGGAAAAGGTTCTGGTTGCAGCCTAAAAAGACCCTGGGAAGATGTTTTAGCTCAATATAAAGAACAGGCACATAGAAGTTACTTAAGACCCCTAGTGTGCTTTGATACCTTAATGTTCTCTCTTCTTCCCCACTTGATGCCGAAGTTGCGATGGCTGTGACCAATGTCCTGTGACCAATGTCAGGTTGTCCTGCTGCCTCCGGTTCTGCTTGTCAGCAACTGGAAGAACAACCAGCCTCACATGCAGCAATCATCCAATTTTGAGTAAAAGCCCCTAGTTCTGCAGACACTTCTAGACTGGACCAACCAAAGAGACTTGGTCAGAGGTTCCAGCTCTGGACATGTTGCTGCAGCAGAGGAGCCTAGGCCTACGGGATGTGCCAAGGGGGACTAGCCAGGGCACCAAAAGTGGGCACCAGGTCAGACCACACTGTGGCATCCATGGAAGTCCCTTCTTGTTAAGCAACAGGCATTTGGATGAAGACATATGTGTCCAGCAAAACCAGAACAGGAAAAGTAAACCCACACGGTCGGAAGGGAAAATTGATCACATGTTAAAATATGCACCTTACCCCTCCTAGATCAGGCAGGAATATACACCCCACAAATCCCTCGTTGTATAGTGACTGTGTGGTAACCTCCAGCAGGTGGTTTAATCCAGCCCAGAGTAAAAGAGAGCCTGACAGGAATACTCAGGGACGAAGTTGGGCAGTGAGCAGGGAGCACTCCTGAAAAGGGGTGTTTGGAAGGGCAGAACCTGCCCCTCACAGAAAGGATGAAGGTGTCCTAAGGGCACAGGCCCCTGTCACAAGCTGTGGCAGGAAAGGGTTCTGAGATAAATGGGGCCACGTCCCCATGGACACAGCTCTGCTCTCCAGAAAAAAGCCCAGGCACCCACCAGCCCCCTAGCAAGGCTTTGACCACACTCCCGGGGTCACCCATCTTAGAGAAGGCAAGCTCATGGGCCAGCTGCCCAGCCTAGAAGCAGCCCAAATGACTAGTGCGTCCCTATCTGCACGTTCACAAGCACTCATGCCCCAGCATGGGCACACACCCCACGACGAACACACCGGAGGCCGACTTGGACGGGGACACACAGGCCGGCTTGCGGCACTGGCGTCTACACAGCTGCATGCCAAACACAGGCCGCCCCTGCTGCGGGGCCAACGGCCTGAACACACCACGCCACGCAGCCTCACCCAGTGCAGCTCCCTTCCCGTCCCTCCTGCACAAAGCCCACCTCCCGCGGAAAAGGACCTTAAGGCGCCCCGAAACTAGGCTACAGACCTTCCCAGCAGCAAAGGCAACGACTGAAGGAAGACGGGGCTGGGGGC